CCTCAAACCTCGTTGGCATTGGTTCAATTATTTCATTGTCTTTCATTATATTTGTTTATTTGGGCTGTGAGTAATCAAGAGGGAAGTGTGCTTGTTTAGAGGGGACCGAGTTATTCAAGTTTATGCGGGCCTTTGTGCACCAAACACTAACATTTTCACTCGTTCCGAAACCCAACAACTCCAGCCCACGTCTAGAGGCACCCCACTAGGCCTGGGTAATCCTACCGCCCGGCGAGGCACATTTAATATCTCTTAGTTTTGTCTGATGTATGTGTTGTAATACCTGGGGATTGGCTCGATTCCATTTTGGTTACTCATAGCGTATCCATAGTATTTACACCTGTTTGTGCTAAAGAGTTTTACTCTCGAGAGGCCTCAAAAGTGCTGTACATTAGATGTTAGCTGCAGGCTTTGTCATTATAGGGCCACTCCGAATTAGGTTTTCCTGCAGTTTTCCTAATTCGTAAGGTCAAATGCCGAAGTGGTATAGAACAACTTAAGACTTTCTGTAGGGGCGCCGCTAAAGAGCATTATGCGAGTCACTCTGTAATCTAACTTGGTATTAGCTTCAATATAATCTTAATCAGCTATTGCTTTTGGTGTTATTTACCCATAAAACGCCTTCAGTGCCTGCTTAGAACTGATTTACTACACAGCGTAGGTGTCCTACATGATGATCACGGTCTTAGTGCACTCGGAGCGGCCACCGAGTGACAAATTCTCGCGGGAAACTTAAGTGAGAATATTCAAATAGGCAGCCATGTTAGTTTGACGTCCCGCTACTACAGAATATGGTCAAATATATCGGAGTGACTTGGAGTTGGCGTTAGCCCGCCAAGACAGTAGGAGGCTGAGATCATTATAACGCGCACACGTAATTATAACATTCCTTTTCTTCTATTTTCATAATTCACAAATATACCTCACATTATTACTGTTCTTATATCAACATAATAATTATCGCCTTTAGTTTTGAAACGGGTGGGGGATCACATCCTACGCTTACAATTTGACAGATTACAGTAGAGACATCTACCGGTGCGCATTATTACAAAACGCTGATGTCGCCTGAATATTAAACCCATACCAGTATATACATACGTGGTTCGTGGTAGTGTATGGTGTAGTATTATCTTTGGTACACATGAATGATCTCTTATTCAAAACCGGGACTACATCGACAGACGAAAAGATCTTAGCTTGTTGTAATTGCCGGCCCAGTCGTTCTTCAAGTTGTGTCAGCGGTACTCTCATGAAGATGTGGAATGTGCGTTGAACATGGCGAATCTTTTGTAAATTACCATTATTTTCGTTTTCGTTTCGTTTTATCTTTCAGTTCGATGTTTTGTTTTCGTTATTTCTGAGGTTATTTCTCTTTTTTACATTTGCACATTTTTCTTATGCATCGTTAGTTACATAATGGGTCACGCATTGTCTCCTCCTTGGTGCGTAGTCTAATATTCTCCTACACTCTTATAACACCTTGTTGATTGGCTAATATAAACAAACTCGTTTAGCGTTTATTTAAAATTTAAAAAAGACAATAGAATGATGACTAAATGATTCATTGAAGAACTGCATTTATCATGGAAAAGCAAAAGAGAACTAGACAAAAATCAAAATAATATAATGTATTTTGAATTTAATTTTCCTCTACAAGAAAATTGTGTTTCCTTCTATCAAATCTATCACATAAATTTTATTTTAAACTCGTAAGATCGATGTATTACTTTAACTATTTTAAAGGCTCTTTTGAGTATTATTTATATCTTTCAAAGTGGTTTAGTCTCGAACGAGAAATAAGAATTTCAAAGACTAAATTGAATTTAGCGTATTCGTCGTGTCAATAACGTTTATTTAAAATGCATGATAACTCGCATTTCCACTGCCACCTGCAAAGAACGTTTTGTTTATTCATTGAACTCCTATAACTTTCCACAGTTCGCGCTGCTTTTAACCGAATATATTAAAATATGGCGAATTTACTAACGCGATTTATTTGCACACGGAGTTATTACGATTTCTACGAGTAGGCGGAATTTATAATATCCATAATTCGTACCTATACTTCCTTCTGAAATAATCCTAAAAGTGTTATTACTCATGATACCATAAATTTTCCCCAGAGAACAAAACAGAACCCTTACACGGTTACGCCATTTACAATAAATGAAATACTCCCAACCTCACAGCTGTATTGAGTAATTGTAAATGACGACACAACCTGTATCAAACGTATTGATTTTTCTAAAAATATTTGCTACAATTCACATTTAAATACAGACGTAAAAAACACAATCTAGGGAAAGCTCGAGTGAAAGCTATAACGAAAGGAAGCGCGTTAGAACTTTTTCTTTTCTGGCGCAAGATTACTGTTCTTGTTAATGTAAGGTAAAATCCTATATAAACTAACATGCAAAAACAGCATTATTTTTTATTTGTTCTCCCTTAAATTAGGTTACCAACTACGCTGTCTTTTCTATTCCCAATGCGAAATTAAAATGATGTATGTGAGAGAGTTTTTTTTTTATTACTCTTTCGAACTTCAGTAGGTTTTGTTATGTTTTCGGTGTTCTGGCCTTGTCAGTTATCTCTTATAATTCCTTTTTTGTTACTTTTAGACAAAGTTTTGTTTGGCGAAACAAAACAAAATATTTTGTTGAATGTCAGCTTCACTTTATACATCGACTTAGCTAAACGGTACGAAGTTAAAATTTCTTTTCTTACATTCCTTATTGTTGGATATATACAATTGTTCCAGACGCGATATTTAAATAAGTTTCCTAATGGATAGGTATAACGGATTAGCGGCGATCAGCCTGTATATGCTTCAAACCCGCAATTCGATTGAATTACCAAACTCGTGTGCAGGTGACGCGGGACCATTACATTTTCGCCACGATCTCTGATGCAGCAAGGCGATTTAGATTTGGAGAAGATTTTTGAGAAAAGTAATTAGGTAGGTACACTGCGTTAACTGCGTATTCACGTTACCCAAATTAATCCGTAAACAGTAGTTGATGTAATTAATGGTAATCAAAACTTGGTCCATTGGTGGTCTGGTCATTGAGTGCAATAAATTAGTACGAGTAATACCTATAATATCAAAACTTGCAATCTTACATACGCGTAAGTATACGTATTTGTGATATACAGGGCGGCTGCTTTACGACAGTTTTGCCAGATCCGATCGAACACGTCAATTTTAGTTTTGAGGGGGACATCTAAATGAAATAATACTATTTACGTCCACTCCAAAAATTTTAGTTGGGGAGGAGGATAAACGTTAGATAGTTCGATACGCATGTTCATTCTGTGTTTCAGCAATGTTTTTGTTTTTTAAATCCTATCAGTAGTTCCGGAGAAAATTAGATTTAAATGGATTTGTAGAGTCGTTTTAAATGTTTAAAGTTTGCTAATCAATCATTGATCATGATTGGGAACTTGGGTAAATTGGCGAATTTCAATTATACAGAGAGTTTACTAAGAGTTGTGAGTAATGTAATTCATAATCTTGAATATTTGGGAGAGTACCTATTTTGTATTTGTTGGTACGCTATCCAACTGTGGAGACAATTTTTATTTTTGCCATTTGGTTTTGGAATAAACCTCGGAATAAACCATCATTTTACCTACATTGATTTGTGCTTTTATTACTACCCTGGTATCCAATTGCATACGGGGTGAGTTTAGATAGAAATAGTGTGGCGCTCAACTCAATTGGTAAACAGATCAAATGCCCAGAACGAATTACCGCTGTGGAAGATCTCAAGCTCTTATTTTGTTTTCCAACCCTGATCTAGTTGGCCGTAGGTATATGCGGCGGGTTTGTGTAAACGCAGCGCCAACTCTACCAACCGTTTGTGACACAAGTGCATAAGCAAGGAAGCAAGTTTGTGAGTTTGTTTAATTTTCTGTTAATTCAAAAACAATAAAGGTTTGTACTTTAGCCGAAAGTGTAAAAATTATTTCGATTTTTTTCGAGTTCACAACAGCAACTCTGTTCAATGAAGAACCCGCAGATTTGGTTTTCGACCACGCCTGTCAACCGAGGATGCCGCAATTCAATTAGTACAACAGATGACCAATGAAATGGACTCAAACAATACTTGCTTTGTTATAATACTTCGACATAGCAAAAGCTTTTGACAGCATTGACATTAATAAGATGTCAGAAAAGTTGGACGCTGCAGGTATCAGAAATGAAACACGCGATTTCCTTATTTCATTTTTATCGAATCGGAAATATACCGTAAAGTACAACAACGTACGCTACAGGGATTTATATCAAAGTTGCATTATTTAAATAGAACCCCCGGTATATTATTGCATATTTCAATGCCTTGCACAATTTTAATGTGTAATTGAATATTGCAGTTATCATAAAACTTAGAAGACAGTGGCTCTGCAGTGTTGCTAATCGTGAAATTGACTAACACACGCCAAACGGTCAAAGTTACACTTTTTTGTGTCAAAAAAAATCGCTCCTTTAAATTTCAGAACTTCAAACAAAGATGACTTGATTTTCTTACATGGAAATGGATTTGACTTATTTTTGAGAAAAGCATTCGAGATATCCTTGTCATACCGTCACAACAATCAACAATGATATAAAGTTGATAATATACTTAGCATACAGCACCTCGACTTCTTTATTTATGACGTTTATCACTTGTGTTTTAATGGAGAACTGTACACTGTACTTCAGCAGTGCGAATTCATAAAACCAGAAAACACAAGATATCACTGATACAGTTCAGTACCCCAAAAGATGTACCTATTTTGAACATTGTATATTTAATAAAGTATGATAGTATGACAAAATTGGGAAAAGTACATAGTAAAATCATTTTGTAATTTTATTTTAAAGGGTGTGCTTGACTAGCTTTAAAATGAAGACACTCTGTAGGTCAAATTTCTTGCATGGTTTATGCCATGGAACTAATTATAATTTATAAGTAACAAAAAATCTTACTTTACAACCGCGACATTGAAACTTCGAAAGTGATGTTCTTGTCTAAGTAATTATGTAACGCCTGTTGACATATTTAGAATAAATAATTTGTATGAGCCCTGTACATATTTCATTTCGCTGGTTTGAAATCATAAGAATCCCGATCAGGTTCGGAAATTATAAATAAGTGGGTAGGTATCTATATCTCTATAATAAAAGTTTATACAACATTGGTATGCGAGTTTTCCACCAAAAATGATTACATGAATGTAATGTGTTAATAACAATTCACTGTATGGAATGTAAATGAAAGCGATTGGTGTAAACAATTTAATGAGTATTGCTTACTACTGTTGAGAATGGACACTTACGTCAAGGTTCACTCAAATCACCTATAAATGGGAAACGAAGGGTAAAAGTTCAAACTACCTTAAACTGCAGTTTAAGTTAAGGTTCGTGCGGGTACCGTATTGGACATCTTGAGACAAAATATGCGTTGGGTAAGTTTCTTTTTGTAATTTTATTTCAAATATGTACTTAATTGCAATACTTTTTAAGCTACATCTAATTGTTACAATTGTCATTGCGAGTGCACTCCTCCTTGTAGCTGAGACACGAAGCGTTGGAGGAATCTCTGAAAATGAAGACATTCAAATTGTAGACAATCCACCATTAAGACGTTACAGGAGAAGCCCAAAAAAACATAAACATGGTCACGGACATCACGTAGTCATTTTGCATCACCATCACCACCACGGCCATGGCCACCATTATTATCATCACGGATAAATGTTATCGACTCTTTTAATTAAATATATACATTGAAAATTTCTTATAAATAAATATCAGTAATCTCCACATGTTTAGAGTTCCTGATTAAGATAGGTATTAATTCTGAATCTGATGGTCGTATTTAAAGCAAAAAGTTGCTATTATTTTTCTTTACACGTGAATTTACAATCAAATTAAAAACATACGACATCGTCCCTTGGAGAATCAAGTTCCAAACTAGCTGAAGACGTGTAACAAAACATTTGATATTATTATACGTATAATTAAGAACAAACACCTTTATCGTCAAAGCTTTATGTATACAAATATCAAAACGTTTTGAAATAATTTGATGATTCGCCTATGTAGGTATACCCAAAGAGTATATATACCCTTTGGTATCTACGATTCAGCAACTGTTGCAGATCGCCATCTACCATGCCGTTTTAGAGCTGTTACATCTGCTTTCTGCTTCAGTATCTACAAGTAGCGTAGCCGAGGACCTTCTGAAGCAATGGCTTGTGTCAGTTTCCGGATTAGGTAGCTTCAAATGAGTAGCTATTTGTTCCCCATAGTATACCACATTTATTGGTGTCAATCTTTTAACGCTGCACTTTCAAGAGTGGTAATTAAAGAAAAGTATTTCCTTTAGCATATTTAGGTATGTACGAGTAGTATAAAAAGCTGTTACGTTATGTGCTTCTAGTGTTGAAGACAGACACCAACACCGCTGATGTCGTTAGAAATATAATTGATTGCCTCGACAAACGCACATTACACCCTAATCAACGGCATCTTAAAATATGTAGGTAAAAGAAAGAGTTGATGAAATTTATACCACGTCATACATTAGATGTGAAATAAATTTTCCATTGGTTTCCAAATGCAAACTTATTTGTCTAAAACCTTGCACCAGAAATAGTTAGTGACCACTATCACCAAAATACCTACTTCTCAAAAGATGTCCAAATTTCAAGCAAACTGTTACGTACTATAAACATTATACAGTTAATTGAATTTTTTATTTACAATTTACCTGATAAATAAACATTACAAAATGGCAATTTATTTCTGAAAGTTATAGAATCAAATCATTAAATGGAAGCTAAAATTTTGGTAAGATAATTACAAATTCAGGGGTTTTAAACCGGGAGGCAGCGTACATAGTAATTAAACCATAAGCCACAAAATATTCGACAATACAGGCTGAAAGCACGTTGAAAACTAGTAATAAAATCACCCGTCTGCCAGTCGTAAGTGGCAGCATTAACTTAGGGGGTGGTAAATCTTTTCCGTGGCCTTTATAGTTTAGTAATTTAGTTGATCCCCAAAAGAATCACTTTTCAGCCCCGCCCCAAGTTAATGCTGCCGCTTACGACGCACCGAAAAAAGTTGAGGGGTAGAAGATGGCTCTAGAAAAAAATCACCCAGTAGATTCTCATTGCCATCGACATAACCAATGGCGTACGCCCTTTAGCGTAACCTACATTCCAAATTTGAGCTAAACATATAAAGCAAAAAACTTAAACAATCGTGAAACTGTAACACCTTGTAGATGGTAGCGAAGCGTTTGCGGACCTATGTTTATATTAATATATGAACTTTTGGTCTGGAGAGCAAATGAGGACGTGGACCGAAAATGAAGGGAATAGGTAAATCAGGATCAAGATCAGGATGAAATTGGCAGATACCTTTGACTATAAAATGAACAAAAATTCAGGTGACGGTTTCATGAGCAATTTCCAGTTTTCCTTTCATTATACTTATTTAGATTATTTCCTTTTTTATAAATAGTGGCAATTACCTTCACAATGCTGGAATTTTGTTTAGAAGAAATCTGTTTTAAAGTGCCTGCTTCTCATCTCATTTTGTAGTACCTACGTTCATCGAAAATTAGGAAACGAATAAAGCAGATGCAGAAAATGCGATTAGAGTAACTACTTGCAGTAAATCTCGTACAATAAATGAGTATACTTCAAGGCAAGTTGAGTGATGCGAAGAATTCCGCTAATTCTGATTAAAACCAATGCAAAATGCCTTGCTCAAGGGAAATTAAATAAAGTTGCTTTTAAATTCAGTAAACTGAAAATTGTACTTCCACGATCGATTTAGTACGTAGTTGCTCGCATGGAACATCTTTTCTTGCTTATTTTATATCTTTTTAACAGTTACAAAGTAGTTTCCTCTTCAATTAATCTCTAAAAAGGTTTTATGAAAGAATATTTATTAACCGGAAAGGCACCTATTGATACAAAATAAAGTCCCCATTCTGCACTTTCACATGTTTGTGTAGCATGCGATGCCGTTTTAGAGAATGTACAAGGTTTTCCGTTAATATTCATTGTTAACATAGCTAAATCGAAGAGGACAGACTTGTTCCGCTACGGAATGTGAGTTTTATTGCCGGTTACCCTTCCGCGTGGAACTGTTGATTTTGAATTGTAGGTACTCGTATCTGTCACTGAAACGGAAAATGTATTTGGTCATATCCGACTCAACGATCATAATGAATGAATATATGATGAGAAATTCTGTCATTAAAATAATCAGAAACTGCATGTCAAAGTGATCCAATATAAGTAGCGAATTCATAAAATTCAAGGTTCGATCAACATTATTCTCTCTGGGAATCCTTTGGCGTTACAGTTCCGAATAAATTAGAAAAAAATGTGCCTGTCCTGAGAAATTGAATCTAAGACGTATGTGGGTGCAATACATTTTTTTTACAAGTAACCACTCGGCTTGCCCTAATTACAAAACACTATACTGTTGTGTTTTTTTATTAGGCCGCAGTTGGACGGCATTTATTTAGTCTGGAAAGAAGTTTATTTCCCATTTTTATGCAGAGGATCTGTGATGGACACGAGATTTACATTTTGTAATTTGGGATTGAGAAATTCAGAAATTAATGACTAGTTTAAATTGCTATTAATTATGTCGAAATTGTCATTCAGCATTTGTGCACTTTTACCTATATCCAAAGTCCAATGCACGTCTTTTAACCGATAATAATTAGGTTAAGTAAAATAGTAATGATTTGGCGTCCGATGTAGGTAGTCTAATAAATAATTAGAAAATAGAGTAATAAATTTTTAGTATGAGAAGAATTAAAATTACAGATCGTTGTTTTAGTTCAATTAATGCTCGGCCGGAGGTAATTAAGAAACTTAAGTCTGGGAAAATCGAATCCGTAATTAGTGTGTTTTAAATGTAATAAATTTTGTCTTGTTATTGTTAAATTTGTGGAAGTTAGCAGAGTGCACGCACTTTGCACAAGTGTTACTTTAGATAAGGAAACTTTTAGTTGTTTAAGAGCGAATTTCATAGGAATTTTGGCGTGTTAAAACTCGTAAAAGTGCCAGTCTAAGTTGATTTACGATGGTTAATAGTTTTATTTATGCAATTATGGTATTGGTCCGCGGAGTCGACCGTTAAGTTTTATCGGCCCCGATATTCGAATTTTTCATGGAAAAGCGTCGCACCGAGATTTGACGATACTGGGGTATAAATGGTTTTGAACAGCGAAGAGAAGACGCTTATTGTACCGTTTCGCGAAGCCTACGTTTGTCGTATGTGAAGATTTTTGGAAAGTTTATTGTAGCGGCGTTTGTCAGAGTTACGCCAGTTTATTCATCGTGTTGTATTTTTGAAAGTCCGGGAACGTGTGGATTACGCCGGCATCGAGGAGTTTTAAGAAGGTTTTTGGAAGGAGTTTGTCTCGGAGTTTGTTGAAGAGAAACGAGCGGTACAATAATGCCATCTTAGCAACGTGAGTTCGTTCGCATCGTCTTTTACATTGTCTGGAGTAGCCGGAACGTTTGTTTAACGCCAGCATCGCCGAGGAGCTGTTGGAGTAGCTGTGTCAGCACATACCTGGGGCTGTGTTTGTGTTTTTTTTGTGCGTCGGTTGTTTGCGCATTTGTAAAAAGGATTAGCACCGTGAGTACTGTCTTTTTTTGTTTTAATTTTAATTGTTAGAATCGCCGTCTGAGACGGTTTTGTGTTTCAATTTGTTAAGTCATTTTTTTTTAGATTTTGTAAATTTAGCTTTGTAAAATTTTTGTTTTTTTTGTCATTTATTATTTGTTGTGTGTCAAAGTAAAGTTCAAGGATTCGAGTTTCTCAAATTTTAAGTTTTCTTCTTTTATCCCGAGTGTGTAACGAGTTTGATAACGTAAAAAGGTTTGGATCATCGGTGGGACTTAAATTTCATTCCAGAAGTCAGTTAACAAGGGATTATTTTATTTGGAATTTAAGGGAGGTATTAGCCACCGACCTGGCGAGGTTGCTACCCCTTGTCCGGACGAAAAAAAGGGGTAGTCGGACTCATTTTACTGGCCCTGAGATTTATATTTTAAAGAGTTTTTTTGTGAGATTGAGCTAGCAAGGGTAAGTTGTGTGAGTAGTTTCAGTCTGAGGAAGTTTTCACAACAATACATATTCATATGCACACATCGTAACAACATTTTTCAAAAAAATAGTAACAAACACGTTAAATATAATCCAACCACAAATACGAAAATGTCACTTGCCTTTTAAACATTTGTATGATCCACTGTATGCGGATTTCTTATTGTTGAAATTAGACGCTACCTTCTAAATTGTTAGTGACGATAATCTTCATTGCACTTATTTCCGCAAAAAATGGTATAGGCCGATCTTAAATTGTATTGCGAGAACTTCACTGACTCCGAACTGGATACATTACTTTTCATCCCCAATTACATTAAATTGGTTATGGAAGAGTGACACTTAGTCCATCAAATGAATGAAATAGTATATTAAGATACAAGTGTATAATCAAGTCTTTAAAGCACGGGGCACGACGCAAAGCGTTTAGTATAAAATTTGAAAAACTGTGGCACAATTGCCTTTTGTTTACTCGTGCACCTATTATAAATTTACGTAACAGAACATTACACAGTTTGTTTATGTTTCTGCCAATACAAACTGGCGCAATCTAGCTAAGCAATTTGTAATGAGTATAAACATTAACGTTAACTAAAGCACGCTTTAAAAAGTATCTGCAGTTTTAAATTTATGCCTTTGTGCGCATTCAAAGAAATTTCTGTTTATACGCTCGACAA